GGGGGAAACGCCTATGCTTATACACGGGCACCTCTAACAGCTGCCAACTTCGAAATATCAAATTTTTAGTTGCGCAAGATAAACAAATTTTGGATAAAAAGTATGTGGAATCGTTATAATTAATTGTTTAAATATGTTACGAATCGATCTTTGTTTATTTGTATCTCGAAAATATTATATACAGAGTTGAGATGTGGCACACGCGCAACGTAATTTTTAGTTGATGGTAGCCCTGCGTGCATGCCGCACACCGCACGGTCGCCGGCTTCGGCACTCCGTCGCATGCTTTCGTTACCGGTCAGCTGTCAATTTAGTGCTCAAATTTAGTTTTGGTGTTTGGCGAAAATGAAACGATGGAAAGGAAAAATTCAATCCGGAAAACAATACGATCGTCGGTTAAAACAAGTGGAAGGTGGTAAGCAGCGAAAGAAAATTCAGAAAATGAATTCGCAATCGAGGGCCGACGTATCGTCGATTTGACGGTTATAGCGACGTTGCCACGCGTCGTACTGTGCTTTATTGTTTTACGGAAGCCAGCTCAAATTTTCCGTTTTATTTTATTAATATCTCGATAACGACGTAGACGAAACGTTTCAATCTGCGCAGAAATTATTCATAATAATGTAAAGAATCTGTTGCACCTATTTGTATTCAATTCTTACCATTTTTGTTACACTACGAGAATTTTATCAGAATTATGGTACAGATTTCGCTATATCGCCCGTGTATAAGACCAAACTTTAATAATTAATTTCCGGAAAACCATGTAGACGAATCACCTGAGATTTTGCAGAGATTCGTAATATCTCTTCGTCAATAACCTCAAAAAATTTCAGCGATTTCTAACCATTTTGTGTTAGCTGAGCAACCTCCTTAATACGATACGAAAGAATCTCTCAGACGTTATGAAATTATAGGACTACGAATATACATATACATAATATTATATATTTCAAATATAAATTATAATAGAATCTGAAAATTTAAATATTTTCCAGATTTCTGGAATTAAAATGAAAAATTTTGAAGCCCGAGGAACCCAAAATTATAGGATCCAGAAGCAATTGACTTAAGAAACTTATCACCTTTAATTTTTATAATTTATAATTTCCCAGGGCTTCTAATTAAGAATCTAATAAAAAAATTGGTTAAGTATATGATAACTCGGGGATTTTTCAAACCATGGATCTTCAGAATATCAAGATATAAAGACATAACGAGGAGAGGAGCGATTATATACCTGATATAGGAAATCGCATCTACCCCCGTTTTGGCACTTTCTGCGGATGCAATAGGGCGTGTCACAGATCGGGCCGTCGTAGTCGGGCATGCAATTGCAGGTGAAGTTGTCACCCGTCTTTGGATTCGGCATGTCCACGCAGGTCGCACCGTTCTTGCACGGCTCGTTCTCGCAGGTGATCAGCCGGAAGCTTTCGCACAGTTCGCCGGTGAATTGGTCGGGACATTCACACCTGAACAAGCCTGGCAGGTTCACGCATACGCCATCGTGTTGACACGGACTCAGCGTTACGCACTCGTTGATGTCGCTATCGCACCTGTAATCAGATAGAAGAAGAATTATATAAGAGAGCGAATCATAAACCCTTGTTAATTGTTGGAGAAGACAGTTTTATGGAATTTATCTTATTGTTAGTGTTGATGTGATATGTGTGTGTGTAATTCTGTAATATGATAAAGATGATTTTGAAACATTTTGCAGTTGTTCTACGAAACGTATGATTTCTTGTATAAAGTGACATTGATAATGTGCACGTTTTTATTATCAATTATTAATTAATTATCGTTAATATCTTTTTCTGTAATTAATTCAAAAATGTATATGAGTAATTAATTTATAACGAGTTTAATTATGTAAAAATGTACATAACAGTAACAAAAAATATCAATTCTTCCTTATACAAGAAAGGTAAAATAACTTGAGGAGAAGAGAATACGCACAACCATCCCTGTCAGCCGTTCTTGCACACGCAGGTGTAATTCGCGATACCGTCGACGCAAGTCGCACCGTTCTGACATTTGTTGTCGACGCATTCGTCAATGTTAAAAGAGCAGTCGTCCTCGGCGTAACCCGCAGGACATTCGTACACGTTATAGCTGTTGGTCTTGTCGAAGCAATAACCGTCGTTCTTGCAGTCCGTGTTGAAGCATAGTTGGCAGCCAATACTGTCGCGATGAGTGGCGTTATCGTTACCCTGCTACTCCAGGAACTCCAACGGAGTGAAATTTGCGTTCTGATAAACCTCCTCGTACGTGAAGTAGTGTAACAACATGCTGCCGATACGCACTTCGCCGAGGCAGCCCTTAAACGGTTCTCCTGCAAAGAAAACAGAATGATTATCCAATTTAAAGAAACAGCGATTAATTTTGTAACTCTTGATGTCGTCCAGACATAAGAAGTAATGATAGACTTACATGTTTTAATAAGCAATAAACTTTTAACAATTTTATAAATAATGATTGTGTTATTTATAAAAATAATTAATCATACCTCGGACCATATTTTATATCTTGAATCTTTTGAAGAACTTAACAAACTAACCTGTACCACACTTGAAGAATAGGGCCCCATATAAATTGCAAGACGAGATATATATACATACATATGTATATGTATTGTCTTGGAATTAATGGTGTCATTTTAACAAGCCATGTTTTTTTATTTTCTTTGAAAGAACATGGCTTCTTAAAACGATATCATTAATTATAGAGGTTAACATCCAAAAAATTATTGACAGGCAATCGTTCGAGCTCGTCTCAAGCACGTTTCAAGCACGATCTTTGTCGAGACGTTCTTAAGACCGAAAACCGTCTCAAGTTAACTTCACATACATAAATTCGTCTTGAGAACGCCTTGACTAAGACCGTGCTTAAGAACACGACTTAATCGTAAATGTCAGAAAATTTAACCTATCCCAATATAATCTAATTCCATGAATTTATATGAAAACATTTTTTAAGTAAACAATTTACTGATTTATAATTCTATCTAATTATGTATACAGTTAGTGTATAGTCCTACATAATTAGATATAATTGTAAATGAGCAAGTTCTTCCTTGTAAACAATTTTTTATTATAAGTTTTTGTGCATAAGCATGTATGAATATAACAGAATTATATACAATTATACATCAAATATATGTTCATACGTGTTTTTACATGTTTTGTATATTTCTATTATATTTTTTACAATTATATATATACATGTATACATGTTTATGCATAAAAAATTTAATAGCGGGATTACATGAAAGATTTATTATCCTGATCCAGTCTATCATAGAGGATCAGACAAGAGTATTTGATTGAACGTACGTACGTGAAATGTAATTGTACATACCTTTCCACGTGTGGTTAGATTAAATGCGGTTTTCTAAACCCATTCCGATAAAAAATTGTCATGCATAAGCATGCCTAAATATAAAGTATTATGTAACATTCCATAAATTTATATTTAAAAAATTTTATAGGAAATAATTTGCTCATTTATAATTATATCTAATTATGTATACAGTTGATATATGTATAGTCATGTATAATTAGATATAATTATAAATGAACAAATTATTCCCTTTACAAATTGTTTTATATAAATTTGTAGAATTATATAAAATTACAAAGACTTATATAGAAATATACAATATAAAAACATATTTATGGACATATTTGATATATAATTTTATATAATCCTATATATAATATTTATTCATGCTTATACATCAAACATTTTATATCGGGTATTAAAAGTATAATGTCAATGTGTTTAATTCCTGTAAACAGCAAATGGAAATGATCATGTACCCTTTTTACATTAAAAAAATGAATAAAAAGTATTACCAATATTATATTAAGCTTGATTTTTTAAATATATTTATTTATATTTAACACAGTGTTTAGCATTTCTCGAGTCCCCAGCAAACACCAAGCAACAGTTACATAACATCAATATTATAATTTCCCACTCAAGTGTAAATGTAATATAATATGCGTGTTATGTAACTATTAATCGGGTCGTGCTGTCTACCACATACCGTACAACTGTACCTGCGTCCAGGATTTACAAACATACATATGTTAGTATTTATTTTACTTTATGATATATTTGCATATTTTAACAAAAACTAGCTTTGTTATAAAGAATAATTATAATTTTCAATATTATTAAATTTATGAAAAAATTACTTTTAAACTGTTACTTATCACTGTATATAATATAATAGGATCAATGCTATGTGATATTGTAATATACCTAGCTAATAAATATTTGAAACTGAAATCTTTCTCGCAATAGTATTAAATAAACAGCTTTTCGATATAGTGCGGAATGATGCACTGCTATTGGCTGTTTCATATCACTGTGAATAGAACAGCCAATAGTAATGCATCTCGACAGCACAAGACCGTCTCAAGACGACAATTTACTGGACTTGAAAAATACGTGCTTAAGATACATCTTGAGCAACGCCTTCACATCTCAAATGAACTTAAGATTGAATTATGCAACTGTATTTGACTGCCTTGAGATCGGTCTTAAGCCGTCGGCAGCACGTCAGTACAGATTTCTTGCAAGCTTTATCAGTGCATGAATAGAAAAGATAATATACATTTTTGGAAGAAGAGATATTAATTAAAGACTATTTTTGTCCCTATTCTGTAAACATATACTTAAATTACAGTACATTAAATGTTAATATTTGATCTCTCTATATTAATTAGTGCATGCACACGTGCATAATATAATCCTGGTAAAAAAATTTGTATATATGAATGTGAATAAATATATAGAATTATATAAAACTATTTAATACATCGAATATGTCCATACATATTTTTACATTGTATATTTATATATAATTTTATACAATTCTACATAGTTTTGTATAATTTTAGAGATTTATACATGTTCTTATATGAATAATTTTTAATGTGAAAAATTATTTATAATTGTTTATAATTATATACATATGTATGATTTTGTGCAATTGTACACAGTTATGTATACTTACAAATAAGCAATTTTTTCCCTTTTGTTAAAGTTCTCATATCAAAGCATGTATAAATCTTCAAAATTATAAAGAACTGTGTAGAATTGTATAGAAAAATACAATGTAAAAATAAATATGTATAGGACATATTTGATGTATAATTTCATATAATATAATATATTTATGCATGCTCATGCATAAAATATTTTTTATC